ATGATTTCGATTACATTTTACAGAATACATAGCTGCTTCTCTTTTTGCAATTAAAGGTTCCTAATAATACAGTCAAACCTTCTTAATCATTGTTCATTCTAGCATAAAGTAAATCTTGCTGTGTTTGAAGAGAACCTAGTCGTCTTAACAGCATCCGGTTTTGTTGCTTTTTATTTTATAAGATTAGAATACCTAATAACCTTTACCATATTTGGCTGCAGTAAAAAATTTGAAGTAGAATAAAATTTGCAGAGTGGATTACATGCCTGGGACAAAACTCAATTCAGTAATTAGGTTTGGTTCTGTTGCTTACGTCTGCAGAAAAAAAGTCAAAATTAATGGTTCTTCCTCCTTAAGATTCCTCTGCAGAGTACTAGGTAATAATAAAGCATGGTTTGAGCCAGACCTATTATCTGAATATTTGCCAAAAACATGGATTTTTTTTCTTAGTAAAAGCACTCTAATTTGGAAGCAAATAAGTAGAAATAGCAGCTAAACAGTCCTCATTTCAATTAAGATACTAAAATATCCTTGTAATGCTGATGTGTGCTTAACCTCATAACGAATCCAAGAAACTCTAGTAATGGATCTGGGTATTGAAAGTTCATGGTTGGTGTCGCTGAACCTGTAGAGCTCCAATGCAAAGTGGCTTTGGGAAAAAATCAGTGAAACTCCGAGTTGGAATTTTCCCAAATCCTCAGAACCAGTGAAGTTCTTTTTAAGGCAAGGTTCACTTACATTAAGAACAAAAAAAGCAACAAAAATATGTTCAGGAAATCAGACAAGTTAATGAAGAAATGAATGAATGTGTTGGGTGTTCTTTGCTTTGCTACAGTGCTTTTAAATTGTGTCCAAATGGTTGGTCACAGATTTATTTATGTTTCCATGTAAAGAAAGAAAATATAATCATTTTCTAYATGGGAAGCAGTTTCCCTAATTATTTGGCTCCTCTTTCTGCCACATAAACACAGCAATTTGTACTCYTCTTCTTCAACTGCCTGCAATTAGCAGCTACATTGCAATAAACAGATTATGTTAATTAAAAACTCAAAACTATGTAAACAATGGGAAAGCTGACTAGCCACTTTCTATTTTTGCCAACTGGGAGGAACGCAAGAGAAATTGGTACCAAGCTTAATTTTGCTCTTAATCATTCAAGTTATTTGCAACAAATAACAGCATTTATAAGCACTTTYAAACAATTAGCTGTGTTTCTCCATACTAATTGAACCAGGTCCTACATGAGAATTTTTACATCTGTGTAGATACTGGACCAGTTCCCAAAATGCAAAAAGGTTTAAGGGAACAGATGTGCACACACATAATCTATTAAAAAGCAATATTAAACTCAACTTCCCTTCCGAGCCTCAGTCACTCTCTCAAAAAGACAGGGCTAATAATAAAAGTATAGCTTAATTCTGCTTCTTTGCAAAAAGATGAATAAACTCAATCCATTAACCCAGTATAAATATCACCCAGCAGATGTGAATAAACAGTCAAGTTTTAGGATGTTGCTATAGTCTAATAAGAGATACAGTTACCAGTTCAGCTTTGGTTTTTCTATTTTACCCAGGAATGCTTAATCAAAGAGGCAGGAAAAGGAAGCAAAAATGTATATTTTTTTTTCTGTTAGCTATTACATATGTACTTCCACTTCTGCACAGAGGAGGCTTTCACTATCACATGTAGTACCACCACGAATAGAGTGTGTACATATATAAAATATATTGACTACAGCTATGAATGTGCCACAGGCCATAATTTGAAGGGAGAACTATATAGCCCTCCTCCCACCTTACCTAGGAGACACTTTGTCCAGGTCCATAGTTCTTTCTATGTATAGAAAGAATACTATTATTATAGAATACTATTTCTATACTATGTATAGAAAGAAGAATATTACTCAGCCAAAGCTTCACTTGAAGAGACTTGCAAGAGGATTATCCATTGGCTCTGCAGGAAAACAAAATGATAACGGGTACATAACAGCTCATTTAACTGGGGACTAGATTTTAGGAATGACCAGTAGAAAAGTGCTAGTTCAATGTATTGTTTCAACTATGTCCTGATCCGAACTGCCTGTGAGAACAGGAAGATGTCCAGAAGACGTGAAAATTACTAATAGCTGTGTTATTTATTCTCAGATCCTTATGAGACTACACAAAGTATATGCTAAATATTAAGGGAAAGATAACAGGAGCATGTGAATCTCAAAGAGCTGCAGAGAAGCTGGCCACAACAGGACATTTTGCACCTACTTTCAGTCATTTACAGATAGTGGGGAATAGTGCAGTGTGTCATATGCATTATGTTAGGGAAAAAAAAAAAAAAAAAAAAGCTGTTTTAAGGGCAACACTGATTTCCCATTTCCTCTTCCCCTGCAGAGTTCACAGACAGTGGGAGGGCTACTCAAAATAAAAATGCAGTTGATCATTTCTCCTTTCATAGTTCCACTATTTTCCTTTTGGAGGCATGAACTTTAAATGAGCTGYTGTGCAAGCTTCTTGGGGTCGAAATAGAGGAAATCACATCCACCACAGAGACACACACAGCAGAAATCCCAAATATGACCATTATGTTCAACTCAGCAGTCTTTGTTCCCGTTGGTAGGTTTTTGATACAAGCTTAGCACAAGCCAGGCTGTCAAAACCAATGAAATCTATTTCTGTGACATTGAAAGAACTCTTGATGAAAGYCAATCAGTTTAAAGAGCACCGTTTTAGAGTAGCTAAAATCAAGATGGGAAGAGTTGGGTTTTTAAACAGAATTGCAGCTTTTTCTCCATAGTTTCAAATAGCACAAGAACTACAAACACTCCATTGAGTGCTTGATGCTAACAGTTAACGTTTTATCCTGACTATTTGCTGAGAAACTTGTTTCTTAACAGTTAACCCTTTTGCTAGGTCTTCTCTTCAAAATTACTAGGAGGATTTAGATCTTCATGGGACTTTTCTCCTGGTTAACACAGAACAGCACTGAAACAGTTATTAGCTTTATAAACAACTTTTAGCCTCAGTGAATCAATTTTTAGCTTTCATACGGTATGGGGAAGAATATCAAAAAGGATACGAAAAAAAGAGATAGAAAGAGCAGCTTCGGTAACTTTTCTATATTTGAGCTTTCCTCAGATTTCCTGATCAAATATGTGTACCTCACAGTAACCTACTGTTACTAAGAAGTGYTAGACTTACTTACAATCTGCACATGCAGTATTTTTGATGCTTTGYGGGCACTCCGGGTTTATTGCATATGAATAAATAGTCGATAAGAGCATTTAACACCTCTCTGCATGGCTAGATCTACTGCTCACATTAGGCTCTTCTGCTATGGAGATAGCCAGAACTATTAGCTGTTCTAGGACATTGCAGACAACTGTGGGTAACATTATCTGCTCTGGGAATTTTAATCACCACTTAAACAAATTGTTTGCTTTTTAAAGAGTTTAAAAGACTCTTTGATTCCCATTGGGAAAAAAAAAAAAAAAAAAGGCAGAACAAGACTCAGCCATAAGTTAGGTTTTGCTTCTATTACAAGACACTGTCTGTTCGTTTATATGGATTTATCCAAGCTGGAAGCTAACTATGACTGCTTACAGATCATCACTTTACAAAAGTTCATTTCTACATCTCAATCCATTCTCCTCTAGAGGTGTCAGGCAAAGAAAATGCCAACTTTTTATCATTTATTACAATAGTATGGAAAAGAAGTGGCTTAAATATTGACATTTTCAATACGATCAAGTTGAGATGAGCTGGTAAAAGTAAATGAAACAATCTTTTAATCTCAGAAAAGTATTTTAAGGCTTGTCTTTCTRTTGTGTCAAGCTCACTTTTAAGGCCTTAGTTTCAGTCACAGTAGCAATTCATATAATCACCATGAGAGAACTGCAAAAAGAATAAAACCATGGTTATCCACTTTTTTAACACTGAATCAGTTTTATGGTTTATTAACTCGAAAGCAATCTGTACTTCTTAAAATAGTGTACTGTTCGTTACTGCATTTTTCAATAAAATAAACCTACCAGCAATTTTCTCATCCAATATAAATCAAAACAATACATCTCTTAACATTGGCACTTCCCTTTGCTCCTCTTCCAGATGCAGCTACTCGGTTTTATCCACTGATAATACACATGTTCCATTCAATCCAAGGAGTGTTTTCTGCAGTTCCTCTAGCTTCTGATCTTTGAAGTAGAAGTCAGGCCTCTCAGTTCAAAGCCTCTATTTCTACATGGGGAAAAATGGATACTTCAAAATAGAATCTAGACTACCGACAAGCTCAGCCRCTAAATCAATATAATCCGTTGGCAGAGCACAAGTTAAGTTATGCAATATGTTTAGAAGGTTTTAATGCAGATAACATTAGGGGCACTCTGTGCCAAGGAATTACTAAATTACACAGCAGTCCTCAACCAAAGCAACACCCCCGCTACTTTTAGCAAATTTTTTTTCTCCTCTTTCCTTCTTCTCTTCCTCAGAGATGAACTAAACAGCCCAGGCAGATACCTGGCTCTTCCTATGCTTAACACAAAATGAAGTATTTCAGAGTGTTTTGTTTTCTCTGTTAGGGAGGGTAGATAACTTGTTTCACAAAACAGATCTCCTTCCACTTGCAGTTCAGGAGATTCACAGTGCGGGTCCCATAAACTGTTCAGCTCACCTTTGAGCAGTGGGGCGTCAGACCAGGTCTCTTGTAGCTTCAACCAACATGTACTTCATGTACTGTTCATTAGTCTGTTGTTCCCTTAGCTCTTCTGCCGCCGTGCCCGGAGTGCAAACCCCACTCAATGCAGCTGAAATCCCCATCAGAGGTTCCTGCTGCCCAGCCCACCAGATCTGCTCGGATGTGTTTCATGCCAGGWATTCCTCAGGGACTGCAACATTTTCCCATTTGTGGGAAAGACTGTTTCATTGTTAAGATATGGGGTGAGATATGGTTGGCAGAGAATCATATAGTGATTGCTGTTATTCTTCCTCTCCCACTTCCTGCCCCTACAGAAGKGACAAATTGAAAGAGAAGATGTGCCAAGCTAACCTTCAGAAGGACAGCCCCGAGTGACCAGGATTTTGAGTTGACAAGGACATAAACTCTTGTAAGTGAAGTGTGTTATTGATCTATCGCTAGCTACAGTGCAGAGATCAGGGGAAGTTCAAGGCTGTACACTRCTGCCAAATTCCTTCCAGATTAGGAAGAAAACAATGTAATTACTTTTATTGAGGTTCCCAGAATGAAAAATCTATTTCAGTATTTTGATTTTAAAATTCAGCCTTTTCTTTGTGGAGCTTACCTGTTGAGTTGGTGGACACTTTAGTCCGCTATGTAAAGAATAGAATTCATTCTAGAGTAAATTATAAACAAACATATTGTTAGAAAAAAATCAACCACAGATGTTGTTTTATTCTGGACATTTAAAAATAAATTAAATCAAGATCATGTCTTAAGAAGACACATGGAAAAATATAATTAATTAAAATGCTTTTTTTGATGTTATCACATATGACCCAGGAGAGATTCACCCTCAGTCATTTCTGTTTTTTTTTCTGGTAATTCTTAGGCTGATTCCAAGGTTCTTTGCAGCCCCAGGAAGGTCAGAATGGACTGATGCTTCATTTTTGCTACAGTCATTGGTATTAGTATTTTATCAACCACTTGCATTATCATCAGTGCTTTAAAAAAAAATACACAGCCTCAGAAGTATCCAGAAAGGGATTAATTCCACATGGTTTTGAAAATCTTAGGSCTATTTAAAATAATCTCATTGACTTGCTACAAATAAGTCTTGTTTAGCCCTTCCCTTCCCCCAAGTTTGATTCAGCTTTTCCTCTATTGTTGTGGCAGACCTTTCAAAATGTGTTTGATCAGACATTCTTCCTGCTTGATGGGCTGTGCCAGTGATTGACAGCAGTCCATTGTGAGCAAGCATTTAAGTAATGATGTACAGACTTGTTAGGGAACTGCTATGTCAAGAGCAGAAACGAACAATAAATTAGAATAAAGTGGAATCGCATTTGAAACTTGGCTGGAGGATTTTGCATTTGTGAGGACAAAGGACATTTGACAATCTGAGTCATCTTGCAGCTTTGCCTGTAGCAACTGTCAAATTAGTTTTTAATACTACAGGGAAAGGGATTGAGTCACAGCATTGCTTAAAGTTAAGAGGCTCATCAGTAAATCACTGGCAATATTAACAATTATGAGCTACACATTAATACAGGAAACAAACTCAGAATATTATACTTACAACAGAAAGTCAAGATGTGAACAGTATTTTGCTTTTGGATTCCTGTGCCCACTACCAGGAACCATGGCTTTAAATTGGGGAAGGTGGAGGAAAAAAAAGAAGGAATCAATTCAAGATTTTTCTAGACTACATGGCCTCAAAACAATATAGCAAGATGGTACTAAATCTGGATTTAGGAAAGTGTACTGAGATTGGGGAAGGCAAGGGCTACCTTTCATATAAATTCAAGATTTACATGCATCACTGTTATCTTTAAACTATATCTAGCAGAATCTGAAGTGCTTTTCCCTCCTCACAGATATCACATGCAGCTGTTGTGACTCCATCTGTCCTCTGCAGTAGCTGGAATATGTGACCTGATGCTGCACTGGTCTACAGAATGGTTCCAACATGGGGGACGGTGAGTTTCAATAACGTGTCCATTCTGGGAGTAAGGAAGGGCTGTTGGACATGGAACAGTACTTGTCCACTTTCAGAGAAATACATAGGCTGCTTGTTAACTGGAAACCTTGTTGAAGAACACCATTTTCTCTCCAGTTCCCTCACACACTCACCATATTCTTAGAACATTACACAACTWTGGGTTCCAGAGACATTTCAGTTCTAGGGAGCACCCTCTTTATGGTAGATTTGGGTCGTCCAGGACTGTAGCACTATGAAAACTCACACATGCTCCTTGAATTCCAACTGCTTCAAAGAATATGGTGTATTTTCAGATCAGCACTGACTTTCTTGTGTCATTTCATGCATGATTTTAGAGAGCAGCTATCAATGAAAAAAATAGTAGTATGACTGTGTTTTATTTTAAAACAGAAGATAAAACTTTCAACTTTCACATATGGTGATGAGCATAACTTCATCTATTTAAAAATCTCTCTAGGTCTACCTTGATATGTGATGTTATAAGGATTGTGTCAGGCTCTATACTACTTTTCAAAGCCAGGAGTGCACAATTCTACCATTTTCTGGCATAAAAGGGGTCAGAGGGGAAAAGAATTAGRTATGTTGTGAGAATGGCCTGAGGCACAATTGCATTGACAACTCATAATGACACTATAGGTATCTGCTTTCATAAGCTGCACAGGTCTCTTCACACAGCAGGTATTGTCCTTTTAAGTGCTGGCATGCTGTAATGAAGTCCTGTAACACTGACAAAAGAAGGATGATGAGTACATTTACTACCTGAAGTGTCTCTTGTAAGTAAGGCCAGAGAAAGAAATTCCCTGAGTTCTGCAAACACTGCACTAATGAAATTTGTTGGGATTGGTTGTTTAAATTTATCTAGAAAAACAAAAATAATTAATTCACAAACAAGCAGACAAATTAACTAATCTACATGACTACATAGATAGATATTTTCTATGAATCATTATTCCATAGTCCCCAACTCCTTTAGTCAGCAGAGATGTCCTACTTATCATATTCTCTGCTTGGGACACAAAAACGATCACAGGGTCTCAACTATAACAAAGATCATGTGGACTTTACAGTGATTCCCATTTGAAATTGGTAGGTCTAGAATTGTTTGAAACTCATTTCAGATTTATGAGAATTTGGAGCAGTTATTTATAACCAAGCTGGAAGTAYACTCAGTTCTTCAACAAGTTTTTCTATCAGTTTGATTGCAAACAGAACCTGAAAATGCAACTCAACTCATTTGGACAAGTTATACTAAGAAAGGATGATTTTGAGTAGATTTAGCTCAAAGCAGCAAACAAATTCTCAATTTACAGCTTTTTTTTTTTTTAATAGACCTATTTATATTTTGTTCTGTAATGTGTTTTTGACAAAATGTAGTTGTCATTTGATAAATGTATGACAAAATTTTATTCCTTTGGACATAATACTGAGCAGCTGCTTGCCAGTATAACACCACCAAATCTATAGTAACATTTAGAGAACATTTAAATAATAATTTACAAGCATCTTTGTGCAATTAAATTTGCACAGGTCTGCAGGATTAGTCCTACAGGCTTTCTGGATTATAAAATTTCATGTTATAAGAAGACTTCAGTTTGATTCTCTGATTTCATGGTGACTTTCCAGAGCMAAGTGTCAGAATATTCATTTTCTATTTTCATTCATAAGTAAAAAAATCATGAAAAATAAACTTCTTAGAAAGTGTACATTAACAGAAAATAAAAATAAAGAACGAACAGTAAGTCGAGTAAGGAGAGGCAGGAGACCTTTATGGATGGGCAAGGGACTGCTGGGGAAACTTAATGAGACACAGCAAGCATATATCATGTGGCAGAAGGGCCAGGCCTCATAGGAAGAATACAGGTGCATTGTCAGAGAATGCAGATGTGCACGCTCTGGATTCTCTGGAACTAGAGTTGGTGAAGGATGTCAGAGACAACAGGAAGGGCTTTTATAAATAYGTCAGCAGCAAGAGGAAGACTAAGGAAAATGTTAGTGAGCTGCTGAATGGGTAGGGGTGCCTTGGCGACTGAGGATGCTGAGAAGGCAGTTAGTAAATGCCTTCTTTGCCTCTGTCTTTACTGCTAAGGCCACTCCCCATGAACTGCAGGGCTCAGGTGAAAGAGAGAGAAACATGAGAGAGGAAGACCTTCCACTTGTTGAGGAGAMTTGGGTTAGGGATCACTTAGGCAAACCGGTCACCCACAAATCTATGGGCCCCGATGGGATGCACTCTAGAGTGCTGAGGAAACTGGCGGGGGTTGTTGGTCAGCCGCTCTCCATCATCTTCGAGAGGTCCTGGAGAGCAGGGGAGGTGCCCAAGGACTGGAAGAGAGCCAACGTCAGTCTTCAGAAAGGGCAAGAAGGAGGAGYTGGGCTACTACAGGCCAGTCAGCCTCACCTCTGTCCCTGGAAAGGTGATGGAGCAGCTCATCCTAGAGAGCATCCCTAGGCATACGAAGGAGAAGGAGGTGATCAGGAGAAGTTAGCATGGATTCACCAAAGGGAAGTCATGTCTGACAAACCTAATAGTCTTCTATGATGGGATGCCTGGCCAACGGGATGAGGGGAGAGCCATGGGTGTTGTCTACCTTGACTTCAGCAAGGCTTTCGACACCGTCTCCCATAATATCCTCATAGAGAAGCTCCGGGAGAGTGGACTAGACAAGTGCACAGTGAGGTGGATCGAGGGCTGGCTGGATGGCAGAGCTCAGMGGGTGGTSATAAATGGGGCCGAGTCCAGYTGGAGGCCTGTGGCCAGTGGTGTCCCCCAGGGGTCAGTGCTGGGCCCAGTGCTGTTCAACTTGTTYATCAAYGACCTGRACGAGGGCACGGARTGCAYCCTGAGCAWGTTTGCGGATGACACCAAGCTGGGTGGAGTGGCCGACACTCCGGAGGGCTGTGCTGCCATCCAGAGGGACCTGGACAGGCTGGAGAGTTGGGCAGAGAGGAACCTCATGAGGTTCAATAAGGACAAGTGCAGGGTCCTGCACCTGGGCAGGAATAACCCCAGGCACCAGGACAGATTAGGGCTCAACCTGCTGGAAAGCACCTCCACGGAGAGGGACCTGGGAGTCCTGGTGGACASCAAGTTAACCATGAGTGAGCAGTGTGCCCTCGTGGCCAAGAAGGCCAATGGGATCCTGGCCTGCATCAGGAGGAGTGTTCACAGCAGGTCAAGGGAGGGGATCCTGCCCCAGTGAGGCCRCACCTGGAGTACTGTGTGCAGTTCTGGGCTCCCCAGTATAAGAGGGATGTGGAGCTTCTGGAGAGGGCCCACTGTAGAGCAATCAAGATGATTAAGGGACTGGAACATCTCTYGTATGAGGAGAGACTAAGTTGGGCCTGTTTTCTCTGGAGAAGAGAMGGCTTAGAGGGGATCTGATCAATATGTACAAATACCTGAGGGGAGAATATAGGGAGGAAGGGGTCAATCTCTTCTCATTGGTGGCCAGTGACARGACAAGGGGTAATTAATAGGTGTAAGTTGAAACCCAGGCAGTTTCTTCTCCATATGAGGAAGAACTTCTTTCCTGTGAGGGTGGCAGAGCCCTGGCACAGGCTGCCCAAGGAAGCTGTGGAGTCTTCTCTGGAGGTCTTCCAAATGCACCTGGATGCCACCCTGTGCCACATGCTCTGGGTGCTCTGGTGGAGCGGGAAGGTTGGACTAGGTGATCTCTAGCGGTCCCTTCCAATCTTGAACATTCGGTGACTATATACCTCATTAACTCTAGCAGCATTGAATATGTGAATCTCTCTCTCTCCTGACGGGGTTTTTTTATTCCTAATAATGGAAAGACGTGATCAGAGAGGAGAAAAGGGCTTAAGACTAAATGAACTTAAAAAGCTCCTTTTGCCTCTTCCATGTGAAGCAAAAAGCAAGTAAAGGCACTTTTTTTTTTAAACATGTCAACTTCCATTCTCCTAAACACRCTCCCTAATATATCTTCCACGTTTAGAAAGACTGAATCAAGGACTTGATCTCTCCGTCTAATCTACAGAAAACTAGAAAACTTGGGTGGCACTGGTCACTGGTAGCACAACATATAAAAGATTCATAAAAGAATTTTAAAAGGCCCAGACATGTATAAACTAAGCTGTATCAGCAAGGCTGTTAAGACAAATCCCTAGGAAATGGGAAGCAKGGATCTAATTTTCCTGACATCTTCCTTTTTATTTGTTTGCAAATAAAGCATTCCCATGTTCTGAGCGTTTAATATGTGCATTAATAAGCAAAGGTTCTTCTGCATCTAGGAGCAGGTTAAACACTCAAGAGAAACTCAATTAAAAACATACAGAAAAAGATTAATTAAAATAATTTGTTTCCTTTGTACTAAGTGCCCTGAGGAAAGGAATCAAGCTTTATATACTAGCTTTATGTAGAGCTTTCCTCTTTCTAGGGAAAATATCAATGAAAAGCATCCTAAGGGGCAGAAAAATGGAACATCTGAACTTAATGAAGGTTGACAATGACTATTATTGATGTCCTTATCACAGATGACAAGAGGTTTAGGAGACTGTTCTACCATATTGACACTGCACCAGTTCAAATGCTTTTTCCTTCCTTTTTTTTTTTTTTTTTTTTTTTTAAAGCTGCTTCATAGGCAGTGTTTGAAAAACTTGATGTGCAGAATGACATTTGTCACCCTTTGTTCCCCAGATAAGAGTGTTATCTTCCTGTTAGTCATCTTTCAAACTGAATAACAGCTGCATTAGCACAAATTATTCTCCGTCCGTCAATTTTAATTTCAAGATTGAAAACAAAGGCAAACTCCATGTGGAAGAAGAATACATCAAGAAGGGAAGAACATCTTCCCTCCTACAGGCTTCTGTGCACACACTTTTAGAAGTAGATTTTAACAATATTTCTATACTGACATGGTCCAATCATAAAAAGTTATAAAATATTCTTTAAAAGAAGTCATCAATTTTTATTTTACAGCTTCACTGAAACACTAAGAAGGAAATAAAAAAAACTGGGGGAAAAATTCCTTCTTCTAAAACGGGCCTGGTACCCCAAGAAGCACAGGATGGGATGGCACAGGATGCRGACTGGAATGCACCCCACGGCAGGCACGATGCTCTCCAGACAAGATGCAGTACCTTGCCCATTCGTTACGAATAGCACCTGCTACATGCAAAAAATGCATTTCTGCTCCAGACATTTGGGTCCTTTCAGCTTCCCAACATAATGCCTTGCCTAAGATWTATTTTGAACCCTTTTGAAGTGCTTCCAATTCTTTCCTAGGATTTGAGCCTCTGAAATGCTCAGAAAACAGTTTCAAGCTTTTCCTYTGCATGCTGAAAGTATTTTCTTTCTGCGTCTAAATAGGTTAGAAATATTTTCTTCAAAAGGTAAACCCACACAATTCCTGAACTTTAAAATTTAGAAGAAGACAAGGCTTATGGTAGGATTGTGAAACTGGGTAACTGGTATGCTTGTGTAAAGCTTAAAATACTCATAAGTCATTAGGAACATCTGAAGTATAAGCTCCCCAGGCTCATTAGTATTAAAGCCTAGAAAATTAGATTTTTATTAAATAAATTTATCTTTCCGTAAAGCAAATTTTAACTCAGCACTGCTTGTAAAAGGCATATCCAAACATCTTTTAGAGAAAGTTCCCCCCCCATTCTATTTTCCAATTTAATTACAAACAGTTGGCCACAAAAGAAACAAGCTCTAGTTACCCAAGAAATAAAGCATCACAGTAAAACAAGTATTAGCACAACCGAAATCTTAAGCATTAATAGAGATTTTTGATATATACCAATACTTAAACTTGCATGTAGAGAAGACCAGAATAGTACTGTGCATTTTATAAGAAAGCCTCATTAAGTTTAAAGCATGCAGACCAGAAGCGCTCTCTCTCTCTCTCATAAAGAAATTGCCAGAGTTAAATATATGTACACCTCAGGTGGGATATCTTTGAAAATAATTTCTTTCCATGTAAAAAAACCTTTAGATCTTTTCTTTGAAATACAGCAGAGCTCAAAATGTGGCAGAGATCCTTATGGCAGAGATAGGACTTGGACAGCAGCTGTAAAAATTTAACTCCTTTTATCCAAGCTGTAAGCCTCTAAATAAATGAATGAATAAAAAGCAACAAACCCAACCATTTGCCACCAACTATTTCAGTAGTTCTGTGTGCTAACTTTTCAGAGGCCATTTGAGTTACCCTAGTAATGTCTTGTTCCTGATGGCTGGGCTGAATTCAGAAATGTATTTGGGAAAAATATAAAGAGCAGGATAARTGGGAATACTTCCAGGAACAGAAAGGTATATGTAGATCTACCAGGTGATAAAAATATCTGTAATCAAATCTGTCTTGTCTACAATGGATCTTTTTGTTCTGTTTATTCTCCAGGAACATTGTGGCTAAATAGCCAAGTGAAGAAGCACCCTTCAACTCTTCGTAAGGRAGGAAAAATGCAGGAGCAAAAGAAAGGGGAGCAGAGAGATGGACACAGGCAGCAATGGGCTCATAATGTTTAGTATTGTATATATCCCATCTCATATTYGTGTTCTAATTGATCTTTGACTATAAGACTTAAAATATGATTAAAAAAAATTATGCTATGGCTATTTGATAGTTTATTATGAAAATCACGACATGCCCAAACACCTAGTTCAGTGCCATACCAGGAGCTTATACTAAGCCTATAGCATGTGTAGGGAAGAAATGSAGGAAAACAATTGTCTGAAGACGTCCCTTATTTCCAATAGAGCTTTATAGAAATTGCAGTCAATGTGGAAGTCGCCAACAGTTATAAACTGTCAACGTGCTGATAGGAAAGTAAACAATGTAAAAGTGAAGCCAGCATTGGAGTCTCACAGCATGGTACGCTGCTGTAATGGTTTAAATCATAAACCAAATGATTGTTATTACAGAGATAGTAAATGTCATGCTTACAGAAAAATTGTGCATGTTAAAAATGACTGCCATTAAAAAGATAAGTCTCACAGGGGGAAAGGGACCTCAAGCCAGTAAACAGACAAAATACATTACAGCAAGAAAGCAGGACTGAAATAGGAAGTCTTGTCTAATTACCAGATTCAGCTATCATTTATAGTATTCTTTACCACCAAGAGAAGGCTAGGAGAGAGACAGATACAAAAACAGTAGACTTTATTTTTTTAAAAGCAACAGAATGGCAGTTATAATTAGGAGTATGGCATCTAAAATATGCATATCTAAAAATAGACACGCTAGGGGCTTTAGACATGCCTTCGGTATTTGCCTTACTGGTAAGGAGAATTCTGCACATAAATTGCATTCTTATTTAAATATTGCACAAGCAGAAAGATAAGACTGACTAACAGAAGCTTTGAGAACCACATCCTTCCACCATTAATGTAAAAATGCAGTCCTTAACACAGAAGAGGAAATCCTCACAAGCAGCCCATCTGTTACTACAGCCAGATTAAAACACCTGAAAAGCAAATTTTTCTCATTACAGCAATTACCAGGGAAATACTCTATCTTGTTATACACAACCCTATCCAGAAAAGAGTGCAATCGCCATCAACTTGGAATCCCAGTGACAGCTATACTCTAGCTGACACTGAAGGCCAACAWGTTCAAATGCTATGAGGCAAGATTCAGAGTTTTGAATATGAAGAGGATTGTGATCCTGATCTTTAAGCACCTCCTGCACCACTCAGCACAACAGACTTTCTTGAACTCCTRTTTGATTAGGACTTTTCATAGAAAGACAATATCCTCTTTTCTTTCAAGTTACTTCTAATGGAGAATCTACCATAACTTTTTAATCAAAATTACAGTGGAGGTTTATGCAATACATAGCATGAGATACAAAAGAGCCATGGAGAACTTACCACAGTGCATGCAAAGCTTCAGTTACTGTGCTATTTTCTAGCAATGGAGAATATGGATTTAGATAGACCCYCTTCCTTCAACATCAGACACACGGGGCTGTCAAATGCTCTCAAGGACACTCTGCCCAGTCTAAGAAGCTCCCCCAGAGTCCTGCTTTTGGCTAGCCCTCCGCATACATGTGCCCCRTGGGAGTCAGCAGGATTCTGACTGGATTTTCAGCCTTACTGGCCTTATATTGGCTCCTCAAGGATCTCTACTGCAACAGGTTGCTCTGAAGCTGGCTAGCACCTCCGTGACACAAACCTGTTTAAGAGAATAATTTCCTCTTACATCTACCTTCCCTTGTGCACTTCTTAGCCGGGATAGCCATCGTTGTCAGGACCTTCACAGGAGATRCTCAGATCTGCTCAGCTTGGCCCGTGACATTACCAGAGGGCTCCTACCTAGACTATGAGAGGGCTGAGGAGAGGGAAGCAGACCCAGATGTGCTGCACAAACCTCTGTGGTACTGTATCCATGCTTCATCATATACATGGCTACCAGAATGAGAAACTTTGCTCTTGTTCATATCAAGGCCAGGAGAAAAGAAAAGCTTCTGGAACTTTTCTATTGAATACTCTCTTCTTCATATACCTAAGGAGCAGAGCACCCTTGTGGCATTAAGAGCAGCCTACAACTGATTACCCATCTAAAATGAGTGGGTCCATTGCTGATTACTCCCAGAGCAGGTCTGTGGGGYGGAGGAGTTCCTGTAAAAAATGTTCCAGGAGCAAAATTTTCTATACTTTTTGTCATTTAAAAGACTCATTATAGTGTGGCCCAAAAATCCACTTAGAAAATAATATCTGAGAAAAAAAAACCAGCATAAAGCACGAGTAGAAGGGTAAAAGATGTCTTTCGAAGTTATTCTCAAGGCAATCACTTCATATCTCTTTTCATTATGCAGCATATTTTTCAGGTATTCATTCTGAATATATTTTAAAAAAGAAAACATTGAGCTCACTATATTTTGAGACTCATAAAATACTATTATGCATTTGAAGTATTTTATGCTCCAGGCCAGTAGTTCATCATCTCTATTTCCCTGCTACATATGAAGCTAGATGAGGAAATCAGATTATCACCCTCAAAGCCCTTTAGGAAAAAAGCAGAATTAACGTGACAATTCAAGTTCATGGAGGAAGATACTTGTGCAAAGTGTGCATGACTTCTAAATTCATTTAACATTGATTTTGCAATTAAATTAGGTTATTCACTTCCTTAATGCTACTGTAGCAAACTTGAGAATGTCATAGGTAAATGAAGTAGTAATGCAGCAGGCTGAACTCACATGCATTGCCTTTTATCACCGTACAGATAAATGCATTYTCCAGAAACCTCCTCTTTCAAAAGAGAGGCTATATAGCATAGTACAAAATTATGACAAACCTAAAAGATAAAACATAGCTGGGACTTCACCGTTTTAGAGGGAAAACGGCAAATGCAGGCGAAGGAAATGGCAAGCACAGCTGCTACAGACCGCACTCTGGATAACAAGATTTACGTATTTACCATAGCTCATTGTTACTGCTCTCTGGATAGTAAAATCTATAAAAATTATGGTATCTCAGTGCTGGCATACCATACATTTAACAATGCTAATATTTTAATGCAATTTAATTTGTTCAGTTCAGCACATTGCTTAAATATCCTTGGAGAGTCATGTAATAGAAATACTCATGCTGAGATAAAGGAGATATGAGTGAAAATGTGTGTAATGAAGCCCAAGAAGAGGCAKAACCAGGTTTAAAAAGAATGTTCCATTTTGATAACAGGAAGATKAGAAAGTGGGGGTTTATGTGTCTTTACTTCTTTTGCAAACACCAATAATCTTGGCTGAGAAAAATGTCTGTTCTTGAATGATGGCAAGAAAATACTTAGGATAAATAGGTAAGATGAAGACATGCCAACTGWTAGTTCCAATAAAGCTTCATTTTCCTCTCCTTACTGATGGCCATRTGTTTATATACAATGAATAAAACGCTCAGTTTGGGGAAGATACACATACTTACATATGTGTACGTCCATGCCACATGCAGCTAAAGCTCTCAGTAGCAATCTCACCAAATCTCTTTGCTTTTAAAGAGTTTCCAGAAATAAGTTGCAGCAGAGTAACYGCAGCAACAAAAGAAAAATAGAGCAATATAGTCATGAAAGATAGTAATAAAAATCATGTCGTAAGTTAGGAGATCTTGGAGAGAAAGAAGCACTTAYGTTACTGCAGAAGGCAAACCAAAGAAGGCCAGGCCAGACAAGAAAGGCCTGAACAGTCTGGCTTTATATTGGTGTAAATGTCATATTTATACTGGACTCTCTGTTCCAGCTCAGGAACCCACCAACCCAAGAGGTGGGATTCACACACAACAGGGAGGTGAGCACTGAAGGAAAGGAGCATGGCCAGGCTTGACRTGCTCTATTTCATGGCTCAGCAAGCCCCTGACACTGCAGTCAAAATCTGCTGTATTCTAATAATCTCCTGATTATAGCGAATGTCAACACAGCTGAACTCGAACAATGAGCTAAACTCATTCATTAGCTATCTCGTAGGGGTTTAATCATTGGTTTTAAGATGAAAACGGTTGTCAAGAAATACTTTCATTTGTTGTTTGCTTTCCRAGTTCACATGTGAAATTTCATCGTTACTTCTGTCATTATGCCAGGTGTGATATGATAGGAACAGTCACTGATCTGAAGATGGTCTAGGTTAAGAAAAAAAGAAAATAATTACCAAGAAGCAGATAGGAAAGCACAAGTCTCAAGAGCATGGGATATGGATTCCTGCTGACCTCAGCCAGGAAGCAGCAGTGAAGCAATGCCAAGGCAAAAGAGCTACAGACATGATGATGCACCAAAATCCTCCTCCTCCAAAACCATGTTTCCTTCATCACTGAAATGAATTCGCCTAGTGATAATGTGGGGGTAAAGAATATACACCAAAGAGAGTGCTATTATGTTCAGGTAAAACTAAATCTAGAATATAAACCTGTATATATGAGCGTAACAAGACACAGGAGCTTTGGTACTCAGAGAGACCCAAGTTCAGTAGAAGAGTCGCCAAATTTGGTGCTTTGAATACATAGACACAAACACCACAGTTAGGATTGCTGTAAAAGTCCTCAAAAACATGGGAAATTGTGCTCCCGGCCCTAGTTTCTAAGAGGGCACCCGGATCAGCCCCTGCGAGGGAGTCTTTTTGTGCCATGCATCAGTTCTAAGTGCCACCTATTGAACTTTCAACACCATTTCTGAGCACTGGTGTTAGCTTAATCTTAACACAGCTCAGATCGGCTTAACTGCTCTGTACTAATAGGATCATAACACTGGAAACTGTGACCTTGCCCTTCGCAACCCCTGAAGCCKTCTCAGGCTGTAACGGAGTCTTTGAAAGCCTTCAGCTAACATTACTAATTATAACTGCAATCTCCTGGGTTTGAAAGCAGTGAAACTTTGTTTTCAGCTTGACTAAGGCAATGCTAGAAGTCTCAAGAAAAGACCTTTATTTTTCTCAAGCCCCCAAACTTTTTAATAAATGCTGAAAGATAACCATCTTGGAATGATACAAGATGTCTTCTTATTAAGAGATTACATATTAAACCATAAACAGAAAAGCACTAGTTTAAGGTATCACTTTTTTTTTCTCTAGAGCATTAGAAAAAAAAATCAGAAATAACAACTACTGCAGTTATTGAGCCTGTTCATCCCTCCTTCCATGTGCAGTAACTGAAAACTCTCCACTTAGGCTATCACCTACAGAACCACAGGTACTATGTAACGTCACCAAAAAATTCCTCTCCTAGGGAAATCTT